ACAAAGGAAGTATGGGCTCAAGTTTTTGGAGACTCTGTGAGCTATCGTCACCTCTGTACATCTATTTATTCTGCTGAGAGGCTTACGTGGGATGTGATATTCCGAGCATAACTATACTATCCACTCCTTAACGGAGGGTAGCTGATTAGACGAAGAAACTCTATCTGTATAAGCTTATCCCACATTTCTGACCTTTCTCACTCCAACCTTCGGAGCCGACCTGTCCGCGAACGACCTAAATGTGACTACTATGCAGAATGTAATAAGTAGACTGTTAGAGTACGCTTGTATCTTTGGTCTGTCATGCATACTAGAACGAGCAAGCAGTAAAATGTATGCTCTCAGTTCCATAAAATGTTCACTAACACGAATGATGGGATAAACGGATGATGACGGTCAAGGTCAATCACTGGTCATGTACACGTGATTGTCGAACGTAAAAGTACACCGAAGATAGACCTAATCAAATTGTCCCCCGATTCTACCTGAGTGACCTTTACGTTTCGATTTTGGTTCAAACAAGTTTTTACGCTGATCGGTTCGTAGTATAAATTTTTATACCCATTGCTTTTCATTTCTACTAAATGGTGAGCTCTTATCCGCACTTGACATAAACCTCGTGGTTATCCATTGTGACTACTGATAGAGCAGCAGAGGATTGTGACGCAAGTCCATGGAGAATCAAACGCAGAATTAATTTTTCAGGAAGTTTCACTACCGGTTTTGTTCGACTTCTTCACAATCCTCTTAAAAGAAGGTGCTCGTCAGGAACCTACTATCCAAGAGGTTTCACATGAGTCTGGATGACGACTACTTTAAATTTGAACACCAACAAATGTCCTACGATAGCCGATCACTCGCTGGTAATCGAGCTTGTTTGAATACCACACATTCGCGTGTTTCGCAATGAATACCGACTAACGCAAATGGGACTAAATGCTAGTGGTAACGGCTTATCGCTGGGTTATGTGTGTGTGGTTGATCAAATACCAGTGTGAGGTGTTCCAACTGTGTATCGTGTACATGGTGCTTTTTTCTTTTACTGGCAAATCAGGCCAGATGTATCATTTGATTGCACTGTTGTCGAGTGGTTCTGGTAACTCTGCTTATCACAACCATCAAGCGTATTTCTTGTCGTGTTATTCATTTTCTCATCGTGATTCTTTCCTTTAGTTTGTACACTTTTTCTTTCGTCTGAAGCAAATCCCGTTCTTGTGATTTCATTTCCCTGATTTGGTTCTTCCATTTTTCCAATGTTCACAATGCGTCTCTCATCGGTTTTACCATATCACCGCGAATCCGTGATCAAACACTGTTATCTGTATTCGGGACTTGTCTGTCATACTTCCCTATTTATCAATTGTTCGCTTTATCTAAAATGCGTTCTACGACCTGCATCATTTCCATTTCATGTTTTTGCTCGATTCAGTTGTTATTATTTCGAGCAACTTTTCGGGTCTGCTGAAAACCACTTTATATAATATAGTAGTTATCGTCAAAGTCAAAGTCATCTTACTCCATCATCCAAATGGGCGGCCAAAAGACAGCAACCAAAACCGCCGCACGAAGGCACATGGTTAATAGTTGTACAAACGGAAACTTACTCCACCAATCCTATACAGTCACTGATTTTCTAAATTCCTTATTGATTTTGACCGCATTCACGATTGTCTAGACTATCAGGACGAGAGATATCTACAGTATATAGTTCTTCACTCTTCCTTAATGACACAATTAATCGATGGGTGCAGATTGTGAGTGATATGGCTGGATATCTCTGTTTCACTTTTCACTTTATTCAACTGTGTCGCGGTTTTGGTTGCTGTCTTTTGGCTACCCACTTTTTTAAAGATTTATAGGGAAGATTGGAATGATATAAGCAGTGCCAGTGTGAATCTAGAGAAATTAGGCGGCAAATAGATTGAAACGATGCACGAGCTCCACTGTTTTCGACACTCGTCCATATCACCTAGTATCTTTAACCATTAATTAAACGGATCTCGAGGGCCCTGACTAAGGAGCCTAATGCGAACCACATGTCCAAGTTCCCTGGTCAGGTTTTTGACTACTGTTAACTTTCTTCCAACCATTACCTGTCTCGGCAAACATCATTCTCCGAAGCAATCTATTTAGTGACTTCTGTCGCACGCCGTAACCAGCGTAGTCTATGGAAGTCGAGCAAATGCCCCAGTGGGTGACCACAATCGTTTCAAACTGCGCCCAATCTCGGAATTGCTTTTTTAGTTGTATGTACTCAATTTCTTCACACATTTAGTTGACCTTCTCAGCTTTTTACCTCCTCCCATTGATTTCCCCTGTTCGGATGCATGAGCAAGATAACGACCAAAAGCGACTCATGGCAATGCAGTTCCTATGGTTGTTGATTTAATGTCAGTGTTTTCACTTGATTAAGAAAGATGTGTTTCATCGACAATAGCAGTCCTGTTCACCACTAGCATGCGTTAAAAACCACCACAGATCCCATTATCACTATCAACCTCACTAGGATGTGTCGTTTTCAAATCTCTCAGTTTTTCGTGTCAACCATATTCTCGAGGTTGTTTTGACTGTGAGCATCGTTTCAATAATCATGTGATTGTCGTGGTTATTTTTATTTCCGTTATTTATTTTCTGCATTTCATATTGTCAGGGCTCACTCCGATTATTCCCGAAACTACAAGACCTCAGTCCGTTCAAGCGAGACCTGTCTTTGCGGTTGGAAGAACTCCCGTCCAATATACAACGATTGACACGCATCACTAACGGTAAGTGGATTCCTATCTATACTGGTCTCTGCCTGTCTATTTTATACAACTCTGTTTGTCGGGTGTCTCACTTATCAATTGCACCCAGCCTTCATATATCTATCTTTCTATTTACCTATCTGTTTGATCTAATCTAATCTTAATATCTATCTTATCGAACACAATTTGGCGTGGACAACTTGTTCGTTCAATTCGGTCTCTATTTTGCCCCTGTACGAGCTCCACCCATTCGGATTGGTAATTAGCCTCGGCAGTTAATTCATGATGCGGAGTTCATCGGACCTGAATAAGGGGTATATATATATATATATATGTTTACAGTCGAGAACAGGAGCGCCAAGTGCAAAAAAGATTTATTGCCTCATATGATAGCACTCAATGATGATTTGGATTTTTTCTCTCGACGAATATGAAGTTATGATTTTTCTCGCCTAACTATTGTAATTCCCACCGAAGCCCTTGTTATGACAATCTCAATTGACGTCGTTTGAACATTGTGCACAAAGGTTGTGTGACAATCTATGCGCTGATTAAGGCCGCCTTGTTTTTTGTCTTGAAATCTTTTGGATTTGCATTCTTTTCTTAACAACACCGAAGCTACCGTGTATAATGACGATATAGTGAACGTGATCGCGGAAACCACATAACACGATGGTACCAGAGAACTCATATCTTGTATTTGGAACAGTTAACGTGCGTAGTATCACTAAATCGGTGCTTTATTTCATTATGACCGAGTACTTTTGTGACAAGAAACTGGTTTCCTGTTCTTGCAAGTCAGATTTCGATGACCCTGTTCGTAGTTTCAAACTTCAGTGACGGTGAAATGGTCTCAATCTATTGCGATTCTTGGTTTCAATCCTTCGGAGTTCATTCATTCTCTGCATGCGAAATGTATTTAACTGCGATAGAATGAGTGTTTGATTGACGAAAAAGCCTGTTCGTCCTTGTCAGTGGCACCTTTTTTTTGTCCAAACCCGGAATCAAACCGCGGACTTGCAGGTTGGGATTCGGTGGTGGCTGTTAACCGGGTGACTCAGTGGAAGTTGTTTCCACTTCAAAGCCTGAGGTCTGCAGCTTAAATGCTGATTGGACTAAAAGTAGTACGTACTGCTGATGAGACCCAACAAGGACGAAACACCTGTTCAGTGCTCTGTGTCGGTGTGGTGATCCAGGCTACGTGATGACGCCTACCCTGGAGCGGTGCGTTACAGCTCCTGGACACCTTCGATTAATCAAATTTGAAAGGTGACGCCAATGACGCGCGTATGGCTTCTGACTACACACCATTGGTGGATCGTGCCGGCCAATCCCAGACAGTGCAGACAAGCAGAATTAAGCAAGCAATACTGCAATACGATTGGTGGACGCCCAGATAACCAATGGTCTTCTTTTGTACATATTATTTAATCGCTTTCATTTCTTCCAAGAAACGAACGAGTTGCCAGTCTTGTGACCTTTTCCTCGCGTCTCGTTCAAGTGGGATATTGCGAGCTCGTGCCATTTCGGTCCAGTGCTTCCATAATCCAGTCCGTGATAGCTGATCCTAGATTCGTGTCCTGTGATTCCTATTGTGTGGTTCGTGTTCCGAATTCCGTGCGTACTACTATTACTACAATCATTACAGTCGACCATCACACGACGAGTTCATCCCAGTACAGTGTTAGTCAGGTCGCTGGTCATCCCGGAGTGAACCGAGCACGTTCCTCACCTCTGACGACACAGCCCTCACATACTGGTCAACTTTACTCTGAGCTTGCATTCAGACGCTGATTACTTTTGCAGTAACAGGCGATAGATCCTCTTGTGAAAACCACATGGGAACATTGACTTCAAACGTCTCACTGGCGTTATACTCCCGCGATTGCCTGTCGCACGTGAATGGTGCATGCGTGAGAACCAGGCTGGTTTTAAACCTGGTCGAGGTTGAGTCAATCATTTTTTTTACTCTTCGCCGAATTCTAGGACAGATGGACATTCCTTTCGTAGACCCCGCGTTTCTTTCTTCCTCGATCGGAAAGCGGTTTTCGGCTCAGTCAACCACTGTGCTCTGGCGCTGCCTTTCCCTGAAGAGTGTGCCCGAGAACTTTCAATATCTCGCTCCCTTTATATTAATAGCCGTGTTCGAGCTTGCAACACCTTCTCGCCCAAGTGCAATTCGAAAATTGTGTTTGTCAGGGCTGTCCTCTCTTTTTTTTTGTTTAACTTTGTAATGGATATGATCCTCGTACGAGGATGGTGGCATCGATCTGCTCCCGGGTCACACTATCTGATCTGAAGTATGCAGACGACAGTGTGCTGCTAAGTGAATATCCAAGTAAGTTGCAAGCTTTTCTGGTTAGTTTGAGTGTTAGTGAAGCCATGTTCGGTATCCGTTTTGGACCTTTACAATGTAAAATGTAACTACAGGACTGGGCTCGCCCAGCCCTCAGTTTCACTCTATCTGGGGCGGTAGTAGGGGAAATCGACAAATTTTCCTACTTGGATAGCTACATTCCACTTGATTGGGTCTCCTGGTAAGGGTTTTCGTATGCTCTTGCTAGGTTTTTAGTTTGACCACCTTCGGCTCTTTTCCACCCATTACATGCCTCGGCAAACATCGCGTGCGGTACAATCTGTTTGGTGACAATGCCAATTTTCCGCACCGGACTGATGGAGCAGTCGGACAGCCACATGCCGTGACGGCGCCACAGATGTCTTAAGTTGGTGTATGTTAATCCAGCCTTCTGTAGGCGAACCGAAACTTCACCGCGATACGTCCGCCTGGGTCGCTATAGCTGCCCAAATAGCAAAACGTGCCCACTGGCTCTATTATTTTCCCTTAGTAGCCTAGAGGTAGGCAGCTGAACCAAACCAGTCTAAAACGCACTCACACAATCTAGAACATCTTGCAAGTTCGGTTATCGCCGCTTTACGGTGCAGAGACTTGGTCATTGCGGGAACAAGATAAAAATAGACCGTTGGTGTTTGAATGCCGTTGTCTACATCGCATTGCACGAGTTTGGTGAGGAAATGTGACAACCAGTGGTGAGGCTAGACGTTGAGTTTTGGTAATCGCGGTCTTACACGGGAGTCAGCGCTCTGACTTTCATAGACTACGCTGGTTAGAACATGTGTTGCGCGTGACAAAATAGGTTACCTCGGCGTGCGACGTATTGGATGTAAAAAGATCAAGGGAGGTCAAACAGAATCGTGGCATTAGGGTATAGAAACGTTAACCTGGAAACTCGGTCATATAGGTCGCATTACGTTCCCTTGACGGGGTCCTGAGCTCATTTTAACCGCTGTTTGGAGACACTGAGTGAAATGGCTGAGTGGGGCTCGCGCATCCATTCATTATTCTTACAGCTCTAGTCTGTATGAGTTCTCTATTTCAGCTTTTACTGTTCTCAACATTCCAATCTTTTGCTTTTTTATCCTAATAAGTAGCTTGAACACAGCAACCAAAACTGGCTCATGGAAGTGCATGGTTCGTGTTTGTAAATCTGAAAACATGAAACTTGACACTAATTGCCTATACTACTCAAATCATAAATTTCCCCAATCATGAACTGTATCTTGAACGAATGGTCAATCCACGACAGAATGTTTTGTTCAGTTTATCTCTCCTTGTTCTAGTATGCGCTTCTCTCCTGCTGGCTTGAGTTTATAGACTTGTGAACATTCGGATATATTTGTGTGTGTGTGTTACGTGTCGCACTTCAGACTGTGCAGGCAGATTGCTGTACAGAAATCTTTATAACAAGTAACTAGGTTCATGATTAACCAGTGGGCGCAATAATTTCCGTGGTTGCCCAATCCAAAGCAGTCGGAACCTTTGCCTAATCTAAGCTTCATCCATAAGGCAGCAGAGGTCGGTTTAACTTAAGAAAAAGGCGGATAGTGTTTGGAGTATCAGCACACGCGGGGCGTTCAAATTCAGTCGTGAAGCTTGGCATTCTGCTTCACTGGTTTTTCGATCTGCCTAGTTCAAGCAAGTTAATTTCGATGGGGTTCGCGCCCCTATCCTCGGCGCATCGTTGGCTGTCGAACAGTGAGTGTGTCCCGTAATTTCAGTAATGTTTCCTCATAATTGTGACATTCGATCTCCCTATTGTTTGTGTCATGCTGTAACTAATAAAAGAGATGGCACAGTTGCGAAGTGTTTGCATCATTGGGTAAACCAACTCCACAATGTGACTGCCTTAGTGGTTATCTGGGACTGCGGATTTCCTTTCGTTAGTCGATACAAATGTACTCCCCCCCCGTGGAAGGCAGTGTTTGTGAATGGAAGAAAAGTAGTTCCACGGTTAATTTTCTTTTCTCATCCAAAGTTTGTATAATTCTCACCAGTGACTTGTTCCCATAATTTCCAGCTAGTGGGAATCATAATCGTTTTCCTGATGATTTAGTTTGCCGTCAAGTAGGACTGGTGTACAGAGAGTTGCGCAGTTTATGACACGCGGAGTTAGCCGATACCGGATCAGTTTGTATAAGCCATGAATTTTCTTTCGAACCTGGTGGTCCCGTGTTTCGTCTGAGTTGGAAACGAGCCCTGCTTGTCTGAGGTCTATCAACTTGTTGGCTGGCGTAGATTACAGATTAGTGTGTCTGTTGTCTTGTAGAACGTATGCGTGTATGACCCCGAGGCACACACACACACGGTGATGTGATGCAGATAATAAATCTGCCGCATAATTATTCCCACGAGTGTCTTTGTTGTTATTTGCATACTTTATTTCTTTTTATTCTTGCCAAAGTAACACCAACTGCTTTTTTACTTTTTCTAACGTTAGTGCAATGAAAACACCACAAAGATGTAACGACTACACAGATTATTTGCGTTTCTTCTTACTATGTTGTTTACTGGCGATGAACTCTGTGCTTATATGCTTCCAAGCGGCAGTTGTGCCCTTGGTCGGCAAACATAGAATAAGGTGCGATAGGATTGATGATTTGGAGTCTACTGGCTATGCAATTATTGGTCATTTATTTTTCAACAGGAGTAACCATTCGTTTAATGAAGCCTTTCGCGAACGCAGAAGTGACTGTTGCATCCGGGGTTTCGAGATCCTTCACGAATCAAACGTGNACGTGTCGAACTACTCAGTGGAAGACTTTGGGACCTTGATATTTTGTCACTTCGTTTTGCACCACTCCTCTATTCCTTTATTTTTTCCTGCTCCATCTTCATTCGTGCAATGAGCTGTCAGCCTTTAGATTATGTGTGGTCAAACGGTTTAAGTCACTGTTACCATTATGCTTTGGGCTCCAGGGTCCGAGGTTCAAACCTTGCAGTCGTCCCCCAACTTTGAGGGAAGGCAGGTTTACTATCGCTTGACTCAATACCATACCTAATCTAGTGGAGTCCTATGTAGTTTGCCACTTTAAGCCCCAGGGCTCAGGTTGCCGGTTTACATGGCTGAATAGTAGGTAGTAGGAGTCACCTCGTCTGATGCTTATCACACAAAGGTAATAAAAAATTACGGGAGTACATTGTTAAGCGATCTAGGTGTGTCATTGCTGCGAATCGGGAGAGGAGCCTGTAAGATTGATATCAAGCACACACACATTCACTGTGCAATGTCAACACAGCTACTGAGGATTATTTGAACATTGGAAAACGAGAATCAGATTATGGTTTCGGGTTACACTGATAAATATGATGTTACCATCTGTAGCCATGAATAGACGATCAGAAATAAGCTTATCTATGGTACGGTAGGCAAAGCTACTATGTTATTGGTTCTGTAAGGAGATAGTATTATATATATATATATATATATAGGCAATTCTTAAAATGCTTTGATATTTTTATGCTAACCACTAAGAATTTGAAAGCAAACGGTATTGTAGATTACCAATTTTTGATATTTTCAAGCAGTGACACGTTTGTTCACTCAGTTCTTGCAGCATGCATAACTTACCCGAATATGTTTTCCTCTTCGAGCCGATTTTACTGTCCCACCGTACTTGGTTCTTCAGTACGTTTCTACCTGAATACTGTTGCAGGCGTTCATTTCTCAAAATTGTGAATTATTGGCAAATGACCCCTTTTAATGAAATAGTTTTCATAAGATTGGCAAACTAACCCGCGAGTACTAAAACCTATGCTTTGCTTACGGAGCTTGCGTTACCTGATAACATCCAGTCTTTGAATATCATACATTTTTGGGTCACGTGGTTCAGGTTCTGTATACGTGCAATTCTACCCACGGCCCTATTTAGTGAAATGGACCATCTTTATTTCGCCTACTCAACAGAATCGGTTGTTTTAGGGCTGTATATCATGGTCTTATTGCATTGGTCTCTTGTGTTTTGGTGCATGAAATCTGGTTTTGATAAGTTTCGAATGCACTCACCCTCATTTTCCGGGCTGTTTTGGGCTGTATGGTTTTTTGTTATTTCAATCAATCAAAATCCAAACTGATGTCTCTTTTTGTACTCTTTGAACTTTATGCAGGTGATGCGATTCCGGAAGAGACCGGAACTGAGGTGGACGAGTCGTTGTCTAAAGTAATGTCCAAAATTAGCACCACCTCGGCCTCAAGCACACAGCCGCCTGTTCCAGGTGGGGCAACATACGTCCAATCTACCGTAGATTCTGGCGAGTTGGTTCGTTTTAGCCCGACAGGGACCACTGTTGGATCAGTTGATATGACTTCCGCGTTGACATCTACCGCTATGGTACCGACGTCAGCAACGCCAATGGCTACTATATCTACCATCCAAACAACCGCCCCACTTGCCCCATCCTTTTTCACCGATCCGTTCTCCGCAGCTCCATTTAATCCTGCCACAATACAACAACACCAAGTCGGTGTTCAGTCACCAACGAAGCATGAAACCAATGACGCAATGGCGAAACAACTATCCGTTCGGACTGTGGTAAGTTGTCACTTTGATTTTTGCGTTTCCGATCTCGATCAACATCCCGAAGGTCGATCTGATTCCTGTGCCTTTGTATGTGTGTGTGGATCGAATACTCAGTGAAGGTTAAAGAGTGGAACCATTTTTCACCACCCACGAACCGTGACCAATGATTTGATCTGTGTGCCCCGTATAGTAATCCGGGTTAAGCCAGTGGTTATTGAGAGAGAAATATTTAAATGTATGTGTATTTGAGAGCTGTAGACCCGGTCTGTTTCAATTACAATTGCTTCACTCTATTACGCTGTACGATGATAATGCTGATGGTTGCTATAACCATATACCCCGGGCTCACGAAAAACAATTGGACCGGCACGGGTGCGCAACAGTATGTTCCCCGACTCATATTCTGGGTGAAATGACACCATACAAGGCTAATCGAACGACGGTGCATTGCGAAACGACGAAATAGGTTCTCCGTGGTTGGGGATTGATCGATATGTAAGTCTAAGTAAATAGCAAGCCAAAAGGTGTAGTGATGCTTGCATGTTGCCAAGCCTTGCCATATCAGGAAAAAACACTGATTTAACAGGCCTAATCGATATGACAATCGACGATTTCCATTCCTCACTTTTATTTTTGTTATGATTCATTTTGTCAATATCCGCTTTTCGGTTGGTTTCATTTCAATTTTGACATCGTGCTCTTTTATCATCGCTTTTTCTTCATACTCTTCTAATACTCTAAGGTGTTCCACGTGATATGACAGAGGGATATTCTTCGTCCTCGTCGCATCTGTGCATACATCCTGTCATGACATCCGTTCTCAAAGGAGTAGTTCAGTATTTAGTTCGATTCTATGTTCCATCTCTTCGTGCACAGAACAAAGAACAAATGAACCAGTCTGCTCAACTACTCATTTCTGAAGTGGGTAGTATGCATTTATTCTAAATATATGAGATCTCTCCCTGAACTCTCTATCTTCACATTGACACTGCCTCCAACATTCCAGTCTCCCCCTCTTTCCTAGTGCTTCATTCAGGTAGACAGCCAGAGGACGGCAACCGAAACTGACACATGAAGATTAACGACAGTTTAAACCGAATTTTCTATGAGATGCCGTATTCGGTTCTTCAGTTTCAGTCAAATCAAGTCAAGTATTTGCTTTATGCACCCCGAAAGGTGGATATTCAGCAGTCAC